ACAGCTGACGTACCAAAATCTGGTTCACCAACAGCTGACTTACCAACAGCTAACTTACCAACAGCTAACTTACCAACAGCTGACTTACCAACAGCTGACTTACCAGCAGCTGACTTACCAACAGCTAACTTACCAACAGCTGACTTACCAACAGCTGACTTACCAGTAGCTGACTTACCAACAACTGACGTACCAACAGCCGACTTACCAACAGCTGACTTACCAGCAGCTGACTTACCAACAGCTGACTTACCAACAGCTGACTTACCAACAGCTGACTTACCAGCAGCTGACTTACCAACAACTGACGTACCAACAGCCGACTTACCAACAGCTGACTTACCAGCAGCTGACTTACCAACAGCTGACTTACCAACAGCTGACTTACCAACAGCTGACTTACCAACAGCTGACTTACCAACAGCTGACTTACCAACAGCTGACTTACCAACGGCTGACTTACCAGCAGCTGACTTACCAACAGCTGACTTACCAGCAGCTGACTTACCAACAGCTGACTTACCAACAGCTGGCTTACCAACAGCCGACTTACCAACAGCTGACTTCCCAACGGCTGACTTACCAGCAGCCAGCTTTATAGCAGCTGACTTCCCAACGACCAGCTTGCCAACAAGCAGCAGCCGACTTACAACCAAGCAGCTCACCAACAGCCGACACGGTAGCCGCGGACGGCGTCTAACCTTGATAATTACGAATTGACGAGGAGTACAAAGTTGGCTCCAAACCGTCTCGGCTCGGGATTGCTCACCTAACGATTGCTCCCGTCGGTGGCGGCGATATTAGAAAACGCGGAGACGGGACGATCAAACGGGGAGGGGGGGGGGGGGCGAGACGCGATGAGCCGTGATAAATAATTTATCGCGGCTCTGCGCCTCCATGCGCCAAAACTTTTTAGAAACCCCGTAATTATGACAGGCGTGGTAATTGACGAAGCAGCCGATGAGCGTGCCGTTAATAAGGTAAGCAACAGGGATGGCTTTGCCAGTTGCTGTTTAATATCCAGGCGATGTGCAATTGATTTTCCTGGAAATTAATCATCCTGCCGCCGTGGGTGTTGCCTTGCGGCTGACAGCGCCCGCACGCCCGCCGATGCGTGCATATATTGCATCCCTCAACAAGTTTTGCCCGTTATTTGTTTGTGCGTCGCAGTTTAAATTAAACCATAACCGTAATATATTACACATCAAAACAATCACCGCTGATGCGAAATTGTTGATTCGAGATGATTTTTGGTTTGTAATTCGCGCCCATTTTTATTTTTTTTGTTAACAGAAACGCCTCTTCTCCGTGCGCACGTCTGCGAGCGTAGTTTGTTCGAGAAGTTGCTTTTTTTCCCCGATTGAGAGGAAAACTTCAATTAGCAGCATTCCGCGGCAATAGCCTAAATCTCGGGCTTTTAAAACGAATCAAACGCGAAGACGTTAACGGAGCGGCAACGCGCCAGAGCCTCATCAGCGGTGACGTTTGCTGCCGGCGTCGGACCGCCATGCTCGGCGTGCTGCCACGCTGGGGCCGACGTTGTCGCAAAGGTCGCCCGGCATCGACCGCCACGCCCCAGCCCACCGTGTGCCACTCCTAGGGCGTCGCTCGCATCCCAGCGAACCGCGTAAGATTTGCTCCGAAATCGTGACCCCTGACCCCCTCTCCCCATACGAGTGGTCGTGTCGCGTGCGTCCCCCCAGGTTAGGGGGGCGGGGGGGCGAGGGAGGTGGTGCGACCGTCGAGATCCTCCCCCCCCCCCAAGGCACGCGTTGGTGCCCCCCCTACCCCCCAGATGACGCCATCAGCAGCGCCACCAAATTCGAAGCGGCAGGCAACGCGGGACGGTACGGTGCAGGCGCGCGTGCCAAGCCGCGTCTTAATTACGCCGTTACAACGAAAGCGTGCGCACGCTCGCGCGCCTTCCCCTTTGTGCCGCGGAGGGTAGTGAGCGAGGCTGGGCGCCGCAGGGGATGGGGAGCCGCGCGTGCGTGCGGACGGTGCCATTTTGCGCGAGCTCATCATTAACGGCGGAGCCGAGGGGCCTGACCTTAATCGGAAGGCACACTAATTTTCACTCGGCTAATAAACGAGGTTTTAATCAGGAGTGCCTAAATGTCAAAGGCGCAGACACAAAATGCCACCACATTTCTTACTATCATTTTCCAAACCCTACTTTTACCTCCCGCCCTCTCTCACTCTCTCTCTCTCGTTCTCGTTCCTGCTCCCCCACTTAGAGCTGAATGTTGAGATGTGCGCTGCGCGTGGTTAGGCGTGCACGCCGAGCAGCCGATGCCTGCACCGGTCAACCCGGCGCTGCGGGAAAGCGGAGCGGAGGTTATCCTCCTAGAGCCACCGTTCTATTTCGGGATTTCCTTCCGGTGTCCGAACGAGGCCCTCGCCCGCGTGGGACGAGCGCCGCGTTCGGCCCGAACCGCGGTGCCGCCTTGCGCGATGACGTTCGCCTCCATCGTACGTTGAACTTCTTTCACACCGTACGTAGCCAACCGTGCGAACGACAAGCAGTTCTGAAGAAACATTGCTACTCGCGAAACACAAACGTGCCTGTTCGTTCGTTTGTTTCCTTACCGAGGCTCTAATCGAGAAGGCCGCGAGCGATCGAATGCGCCGTGCGCGCTGGCATCGCCCCGTGGCCCGGCGAGGCACCGCACCTGGCCATGCCACGCCTGGTGCCTCGCCGCGCGGGGCTCGTGAAGCCTGTGGGGCCCCCGGCCACGCGACCAGTTTGCTCCCGGGGGTATTGCGCTGAATCGCGAGCGAGCGCGCTGCAAATAGCCGACATAGGATGCCTCTCAATCTCCTTCTCTGAGAAGGGGCAGTAAATGGATGATCTTTTTTGAAAAAAAAAAAGTGCTGAATGACAAGAGTCAGGAATCGACCAGGAATTGCTCTGGATTGGCCGCAGCTGTCAGTGGCGTTGACACGAGTGCATTTGCGGGGGCCTCATCCTGCCCACCTCCCAGCCGTCAACAAAACCTCATTTCATCCTTCAAGGTTTCTCCCGAAACTAACCTCCACAGCACCACCTCCTCCAATGGCGCAAGATCAGATAAAGAAAGATTGCCCCGTATTAATCTTTTTGTGTCTTAAGTGCCAGTGATAAAAAGCCGCTAAAAGCCTGTCAAGTGCAGCGCGTATTGATTCGCGGCTGATTTAATTGACCTGCGAATTGACGTATTTAGGAGCTCAATGCGCCGCTCCTCTCCGACGGAGCTCAAGGCAAAGCGAGCGGCGCGTCTCGCGCCGAGGTCAGGGACGCTCGCGACGGACGGGCATTGTCTCGTTTCTCCGGTTGCGTCTGAAGCTTCTGTTTTTTTTATTGTTATTTTCTGTTACGGGACCTCATGAACTCGCTCTCTCGCGCTCCCGTCGCGCCGAAAGTGCTTTTTTGTCGTGCACACCGAAGGACGGAATTCAAAGGCGTGTGTACGTGCGATGCGTGTTCCAGCGCGTCGCGTTCTGGGTCACGCTGCATTCCGGCAGGCTCTCCGAGGGAACGCCGCTTAAAAGCCGTCTTTTTGATCCGCCCAGGTGTGGGGGGGGGTGGGGGAGAGCGGCGCTTCGACCGAAAGTCCCTCGTCCAGCGCGAACACTCATCGCTCATTTATCAATCTCACCTCTAACCACCGACGATCGGAAAACTAAAATAATCACCGGACACCTTTAGGGTGACCGGGCCACCAAGTGGTGATCAGGTCACCTGGTGAAGGCGCTCGATCTCACCGGCCCTCACAAGCCGAGCTTGTTCGGCGCTTCAGTCGTACGCTCGGTGCAACGTAGCCAACTCGCGGCACTGCGGTGGATTTTTCGAATCGGTCTGTTCGGAGCTTCGAGTGATGTCCCCTTCCATGCGTGGTGGGTTTTCTCCAGTCCCCCATGAATGGGAATGCCTAAACATTGCAAAGCACCCCCGATTAACACGGCTGGCTACGTACGGTGCGAAATAAGTTCAACATTCAAGTTTCATTCATTAGGTCCAGCCCTGTGAGCCATGCGGCTCTTGAGTCAGGTGCAACCGCAACAAACAAACTATGAACGGAGAACATCTTAAAGCGACTACGCGCAACAGAAACATCCTGGATAAACCAGCAAATCTTCCAGAAAAAAGACCCACCGTATTACAACGCTGTGTGCAAAAATCCCAGGGTGATGCAAGACAAACAATAACAACCATAAGATAATTTAGATTCAAGTTATCAGGCCAACTCCACACTTCCGCAAGAAGCATGGCTTAACCATATGTTTTCGAAATCACCAAAAAAAGTTATAAAATACAATGTAACAACAGTAATCATAGGAACTTTGATTCAACGTAGATACATACGGAGCATGGCACTCTTGACAGAGAATCTTGAGACTCGGTGAACCTGGGTAGATAAAGGGCAATGCAATGATTGTTGTCTTTGTAAGTGAATGACTTAATTGCATATTTTGTTGTGTTTATTTCTCGCAATGTTATTCTGATTGTGTAATTGGCAAAGTGTTATTCTGATAGTGTCATCCATGTGGATCTCTCGTACAGCAGTGTGACTCTTCATGTTAGAGAATGACCCACGGAAGTAGCTTCCACAGAGCTAGATCTCAGATCTCTTTTGAATGCCCTCTGTCTCACCAGATGAACGGCAGCACTTTCCTACCCATCATGTCATAGGGGAAAATGGCAGTCAAACTCACATGTGTTTATTAGCAGAGCTGGACAGTAGCCAAGTTAAGTGCAGAACCAAATATGATGTAATTGGGATTTTGAGGCATTTATTTAGTGGCCACGCTTGAGAACTGTTTGAATCGCATGTGGCTGAAACCCGGATTCGAACTCAGAATCCCCGGGGTGCCAGCTCGGAGGGTAACCGAGCGTCGCGGTCTGTGCGTGACTCCCACAGGGCTCTTCTTCTGGCCGGGCCACGCGATGTCCGGGAGCGTGCGCCGCCACGTTGTGACGTCTCACTCGGTGTGCTGTGCATCCGCGCTGCTGCGTGCAGGACGGAAGAAGGCGAGCCTCTTCGACGGACTCAGCCCCACCAGCTGCCCCGTGTGCGGCGTGACGCTGCGGCCCGGGGAGCTGCGTGAGCACCTGGAGCAGGAGCTCAACACCCTGCGGCAGCTCTTCAGGTGAGGGCACCCTGACGGTCCGCCGTTCCACCGCCCCACTGCCCCAGCGCCCCCACCGCTCTACTGCCCCACCGCACCACCGTCACACCGTTCCCCTGTTCCACCACCCGACACGGATACCCTGTTTCACCGCCGTGCCCCACCATCCATTGGGCCACTGTGCCGCAACGCTGCGCTAAACCACCGTGTCCCACCGTCACATCCCTCAAGAACCATCCCTGCACTCTGCTCCACTCCCCCCCTCCCTCCTTCCCCACCCTCCACGACACAGTCCCATCGTCCCGTGCCCCCTATCAGAAGCGTGACAGATCCATTTATTCCTCGCTTAACTTTCTTCCTCGAGTCTTCCTCCTTGGCTTCGTCGCCGAGGCCAAGAATCAACACTGCACGGGATTTAAACACAATTTAGAATTTGCATGCGGCGCGTGCACTTTGCTGGGCTGCACGCGATCACGGCGCCACAGGCAGACAATCTAAATGGAGGGTTCTACGAGGAGGCACTTTGAACGTAACAAGTTTCCGTCGCGGGATAGTGAAGGGTGCATTACGGAGGCGGCCGGTCGCTCGCCGCCGGTCGCAGAGAGACATCAAAGGGGCGATGAGTGGGAGCGTGGCGGCGGTGGCGGCTCGCATAAACAAGTTCATGGATGCGCATAATTTATTGGGCGGCATTTGCGCGCACGCCAACCTCGGCGGAGGACGGCGCGGGGACACGGAAGTCAGGTTTGCTCATCGATCACCCGTCGGAGCGTCCGCGCTGATTGAATGCGTTGGCGGTCATTTGCCCTTCATTAGTATGGCAGCGGCGCCGCAGAGATAAACCGGGCCCCCCCTCTCACCCCCATTCGCCCCCCCTTTACCCCTCCCCCCCCCTTCGCCTTCCACGCCGTGCTTTGCCGCCTTGGCCGGTCAGCTGGCCGGCTGGTGGGACGCGTGCCGCGGCGGCGTGCCGGGGCCAGTGCCGCCCCCGTGGTGTCTCCCGCAGGAGACAAAAGACCCGCGGAGCTGCCGCGGCGAGATAAGGAGGCCCGCCGAGTCGGGTCCGTCATGATTAGCGACAATTTCTGAGTGGGGGGGGGGGGGGGGGCGGTGTCGGGTGGGGGCTCTGGGGCAGCGATAATGTGGCTGATTAAGCCTCGGTCAAAAAAAAAGACACAGCAAGTCACAATCTTATCGGCTCGCAGCTACAAAGGAACGCGATTATCAGGCAATTAATAACCACGCCTGGGTAGTGCGGTGGTGGCCTCGTGCCGATAGTCATCGCGAGAGGGACGGGCCGGGATGTTTCCCCGCGGTCGAAGATTTAACCCAAAGACAAAGGCGCTCGCCACACGGGCTAAACGCAAGATCTACCCCCCCACCCACCCCCCACCCAGATATCATCGCCACCCGCTGTCTCCTCTCTCGTTCCGTCTCGCACGGAGTCATTCACCGGCGCGGAGCGGCCCGCCTGTGTGCGTTGTACAAAAGGCATTGTAGCGCGTTCAATGGGTGGCTTAGGACTATATTACTGCTCTGCGCGAGACAAGTGAATCTGAATGCGCCGAGGAGGCAGAGTTAAGGGTGCGCTCCACCGACACTCTCGCACGTGGGATGGGCAATGTGTTCAGCGGATGGTGTTCACAGTCCGTGTGTGTGTTGTGGATGTAGTCGGCACAGCGTCTGTTGCACAAATGTATATCGAAGCGGTTTCCCGCTCGAGTGAGTTTGGAGGTAGTGGCCATCTTCTGCCCACAGCTCTGAGCCGGTTGTGGAAATTCCACGAGGCGGGGTCCACATTCTATTGATCCCTGAGGGACGATGAGCCGAATTCAAACTCTCCCCCTCTCCACCCCAAACCCTGGGATTGAACTCGCAACCTCGCGATTGCGAGCAGCTCGCTGCCTACCGCTGAGCTGCCACCTGGCCACCCCATGCCAGGTGGTACGACCATTTCTATATTTATATTTAGTATCCGGTCTGCATTTTGGATGCATTTAGTATATGGTAACCATATGTTTAGCATGCACGTTGTGCGTATTCAATATTGTATTGTAATGTATGTGCGACGAGCGGTTTGCGCACCGCGCTATGAACCTGGCCACCTGAGTTAAATGCCATCATTTGGCGAGTGATGTCAGAACCGGCGCTTCAATCCGCACTGACTTGTGTGGTGAAGTATGGTCAAACGACCCCCACCCCCATTACTGATACGGTGTGTGGGAGGCCCTTATTCAGTAGTGGATTGACAACGGGTCGTAAATCATTAATATTATATCGTACCCATTTAGCATATGTACGCACATTATATATCTATATTGTCGTGTGCATGCTTAAAAAAATGTAATATAGGTCCAGTATTATTTTTTATCCGACATCATTTTAAATTCCATTATATTTTTGGGCCCCCCCCCCCCACCCACCGCCACCGAAAAAAAATAATAATACACATTTCAACGTCTGATCACAAAAGTGATATTGTAAAAAAACACCATGGAGAGAAGAGAGAAGAGATGAGCGCGCATTTAAAATTGCGAGCGGTACGTGTTGGCAATGTAGATCTCCCATAATGCGCACGGCGAGTGTGGGCTGCGCGGGCGGCGCGGCGCGCTAGACCCCTTTCAGACGGCGCTCGCCAGCGAGGTGAGGCCGCTCGCGGAGCTCTAATCACGGGTTAGCGCCATTAGCCGGGTGTCGCGCCGTCTCCCCGGGGGCCGCGCCGCCGTGATTGATGGACGGGGGGGGGGGGGGGGGGAGAGCGCCGGCGTTTCCCCCCCCCCAATCCCAAACCGCCATCGCCCCCTCGCCCACCCCTCGCCCCCCCCTCGCCCCCCCCTTGCGCCCCGCCGACCCGGCCGACGCCGCTCGCCGCTTTCGACCGGTGACCGGCGCGGTGACCGGCGCGTGCTGGACGCTGCCCCCCGCCCCCGTCGCCGGGTTTGTTTATTTGTGCGGGCGGTGGCAGTGGCGGTCGGCGCGTTATCGAGTTTAAACGCGGAGGGCCCCCCCCCCGTGCCTCTCTCTGTCGCGCGCAGATCCCGGAGCGAGCCACCGCTAATGGTGCTTAAGAAATCAATGGCAGCCCGCAGAGCGAGTGCCCGCCGTGTTTTAAAGCCAGATAAAATGAGCTAAATTTTTTTTGACGCGCGAGATTGAAAGGAATTTGCTTTGCGCCATTCGTTTCTGGCCACCCGGTGGCCACAAAAAAATTAATTTTACACCTCCCCCCCCCACCCCCCAACCCCCACCGCCGTCGCTGCCACGGAGCTATGAATTTTAATAAAGGACCGCGCATAACGTGCGGCCCGTGGAATCTCCCGCTTACCACGGGCCCTATCCATCTTGATGGGTGTCTGTCGGACTGCTCGGGGTGGGGGGGTGGAGGGGGTGTCCGGGCAGGGGAGTGAGCACCGCCCGTCGTTGAGCGGTCCTCTGGCGGCGAGCGCTCCGCCCGGGTGAATCGATGGCCACCGAACGGGGGGGGGGGAGGGGGGGCGGTCCCTGGTGGCGGCGGCGCTTGATAAATCTGATCGAATAAAGCGGAATCGGATTTATCGCCGTACGTCGAGGGGCTCTCTCCGTGGACGGGGCGGTCGGCCGGCTTTGCCGGGGGTGAGGCGGCGCTCGCCGGTCGGCAAACGGAGCCCTAACGAGACGAAGGTGACAGTGCACGGGCCTTCGTTCTTCACATCTGGTTTGCGGGACGCAGGGAATTCTTTTAACGTCTGTTATATATTTATATACTTAATGTTTGCGCCGGCCACGGCCGCCTTATTCTTTTGCACGTGTTGCCATAACTTTTTTTAACGGCCAATATCTGCATTTGGGAAGGGGGGGGGGGTAGCAATAAACTTTCCCCGTTTCCCGTATAATCATATCGCTCCCGCACACACACGGGCACCTCCCGCACGCACGTGCGTGGCGGCGTGTCCTACCAGCCCTCCGCACGTTGCGTTACTCGGTACTCTGCGTTCTAAGGCGCTTAAAACAAAACATTTTAAATAAAACTGGACCTTCACGTCCCCCTGCAAGCGCGCCAAGCGCCCGCGAACGATCGCGCTGCGTTTGGCCAGCGCCGGATCTGAGCTCGCTCGCGAGGGGCCTGCGACCGTCCCTCCGTCCGTCACCCGCCCCCCGGAGTTGGCGCCAGCGGACGACGGCTACCGTGCTCGCCGTGCCCCTCTCCAGCCGGACGGCGGCGACGGAGGCATCGCGTTCGTAACCTCGCGGCGCCGGCGGGCAAGCGCGCCGAACCGCGGCCGCCTCGCGTTTAGCCACGCAGCCAGCGGCAGTCTGAATCGAGTCCACCGATTGGCGCCGGCGAGAGTGGCACCGGCGGAAAGTGGCAAGGTTGGGCCACTTCCACCCTTCCGCCATCCTGGGCCTTCGGCCTGCTTAGCGTGTGCGGCGCGCGCAGTCCTTTAATCCGCGTTCAGGAACGAGGGCACCTGTGAATTTTCCGTAACTTGCATGCTACCAGAGAGGGATGGCTCTGAATTACGAAGGCCGTGGAGAGAAAGGGAACGTGTTGTTTTTGGCCACGCTTGTTTAACGCTTCGTGAGAGAGGGAGAGAGGAGTCGGGGTGTCACCTGGTCTCGTAGTCTTAGTCGATGCTCGAGTCTCCCTGTAAAAGCGATTGCGTGCGAGTTGGTCACGTGACTTCTGCGTCAGAGCACTGAGCCGGCACCACTGAGAGCCTGGTTTATCAGACAATTTGGCTAAATTCAAGCTGTCAGAATTTAAAGAGATGCCTTGATTTACATCAGCCGGTGAACTGTGATTCCAGAAGTAGTTCTGTGACGTCAACTTTCACGGACTCTGTTTGACACAGGGTGATGCGCTGCTCGCTCGAAATGTCTTCATTTTATGACGTGACACGGATGGCACAATTGGGGAAAAGAAGAGATCATGAAAGCAACGTTTGAAGCGAGTAGAGTCATGCGCCCCGCTGTGGAGGTGATTTGCGAATGCGGAGGTGATGGCGCTAATGTTCCGTTCCCCTGTGCCCCCCAGCGCGAAGAAGCCTCTGTCCAGGGACCCCCTGCTGCTCGGCCACAGCAAGGTATGGCGAGCCGAGTGAGGGCGTGCACACGACGCACACACACACACATCACTCGCATCACTTACACCATACGCACGACAGCACGTACACACACACACCACACACACACCTTCAATCATACGCAGCATCCACATGATACACACTGCAATCCGCACACACGACTCACACCATACACACCGCAACGCACACATGTGTACACCGTACACACCTCCGCGCGTGCACACACACGCACATCAGTCCCATTGCCGCACGCTGTGAAGGTCGCCCTCCCTCTCCACCTGCGTGACCCTGACTGCGCCGTGACCCTTCCATCTGCGTCCGCGTGGCCCGGCCCGCAGGCACGTCGGTGGCGGCCGTAGTAGTCGTAGTAGCGTCCAGCTGACTCAGCGGCTGCGGGAGGGCAACAGAATCCCGGTGAGCGGGGATCGCCCGCTGCACATCGCCCCGGCGTTCTGGTTCTCTTTAAGCTCTCGCACTTTTAACGGTCGAAAACTGGAATCCGTTAAACGAGGCTTTTGCAACATCTTGAAAATGTTTAGCGACCGAGCCGTTAAAGCGGAGGTGAAATCGCAGCGGTGGCTGCGTTTTCGTGGGCGCTTCACGCGGAGGAGGAGGGTGCCCCCGAGGAGTTTTGGCGTCGAGCGCGACTCCGCGGCGAAGTCGCGATGCCACCTCCCGTCGGGATGCCGCCATCCCCGGCGGCACGACGCTCGTTTCCCCCAGTTCTAGAAAATCAGACGCTCAAAATCGCAACCGCCTCGCCCTGCCCCGCTTGAATTCCCTCCGCGGTGGAATTCCCATCTGCCCGACGAGCAACGCCCGAACGCCGCCAACGTGGAAACCATCTGCTAACGGACTAGCCGGGGACGGAGCGCGGCGGTGTGATGTTCGGCCAGGTGGGCTGCGCCGCGGCCGCGTGGGGTGGGTGGGTGGCCCGCTCGCTCGCTCGCACGGTCAGCGTCGCATTAAAAACATTCCTCGCCTCGTGCGCCTCGCCCTGTTAGTGGTCTCCAAAGTGGCGCAGTAAAGGCCCTCTCCGCCGGCGTGGCCGCATGTGCGGTTGATTTTGCGCGGCCGTACCCGGAGATTTTTCTTCACACTCCTAATTGAGCCAAAAATTTCAACAAAATGCCGCGTCCCCTGCCACCTGCCATCGGAAAATTAATAGGAAAGTATTTGTTTTTCATTTTTTTTTAATTCGTCTTCTTTACCCGGATGATGTAATGGCCCTGCCTTGAGCTGATTGTGCGCTGTGTGTTCTTTGTCAAAGTGTAATTAGAAAATTGCGTTGGTTATTAATCCGCCTCCGCTGGGGATTTACAGCCCCACCCCCCACCTTTCCAAGACACGATTCCAACTGAGAATTATTCCAGATTTTTGTAATCCAATTTTTGTAATATGCAATCAAATTTATGATACATTTATTTATTTATTGAATCCCGTTCACCATCACCCGCACCCCTACACCCCCCCTCCCCCGCCCGCCCGCCCACCCACGTTACACAATATTACACGTTAGGCGGAGTTGCAAGTTCAGACGCTGCTCTCCCGCCGTGCGACGAACGCTCTCTCCGTTGTCAGGGGGAAGCTTCGAGTGCCCCTCGTTTGATCACAAAGTTCGAGCGGGGATTGGAGCCCGCCAATGAAAGGGGGTTCGCACTGAGGGCCTCTCAGACGACCGGAGCCCGCGGGCGGATCAAAGGCGCCGTTGCGTGAGTGCGCTATCTTGGCGCAAAGTGAGTTTGGGTAAAATGCTAAATTTGGAAAAAGAATAAAAACAAAAGATCTTTTTGCAAATCCTGATGGATGAGTGAAGTGGGCTTTTTGGAATGCTTTAATATTGCGGCGTAGCGGCTCTGCCTATAAAACATCTCGACGCAGGAAAAGCATTCCTGCTCTCCCTCCTCCTCGCCGCTGCTGGTGCATCATTTGTTCCGTCGGTTGAGCCCGGGACGAGCTCCGAACTTTCTATGGAATCAACGGGGAGTCGTTCCCCCACCCCCCCACCCCCCACTACTCGGCGCAGGAGAGTGTGTTGGCTTAACACGACGGCCAACTTCCGGAAATTCGGCAAAAACTCTGGAGGAGCTCGACCCGAGTTCCCGTGTTTACACGATCCCACGCCTCCGCCTAATCCCCGTGAAAGCCTTTTGTTAAAACCCCACCACCCCACCGCTCCTCCCCCGCCCCACGGTGGGATAACGGGAGACTTCCTACCTGGGAAATTAGACGTTCGACGCTCTCGCGTCCAGATGTCCCGGCGCGGTGCGCGCGAAGGGCCCGGTAAGTGTGTTTAGTCTCCGTCACCCCGAGAACGTAAACAGGCGCGGTGGGCGCGAACGGCCCGTGCCTGCGAGCGCGTGTCCGCGCCCGCCCGCCCCGAGTCCCGCTGTTTAGCTTTGGCTTTGGCGCGGCCGGGCGAGGGCGGCGAGCAGGTGTGGCCGGGCCTGTGGGTGGCCGCGTGAGAGGGCTCCGGGAAACCCGCGGACGTGGTGGGGGGGAGGGGGCGGGGGGGGGTTAAACGCTCGCCGCTCGCTTGCGGAGGCGACGGTGGGGGGGAGCGGGGCGGGGGGGCACTTGGGTGTGGGGGGGGGGCGCGACCCGCGCAGGTTTAGGGGATTTTCTCTGTGGGCTGTAAGTGGAGGAGGGATTAAGGGGCGATGATGCCGCCCGGCTGGAGGGTCACGGCTGTCAAAGTGACCGCTGCAGCTGTGACTTTCTTGACAAATTCCCGCTAAGTGCTGAGATTTCACCGGGGCAGGCACGTGCGTCCCCAACCGGACGTGCGATGGTCCCGAAGCATTTGGAGACTGGCTGCAACAATAATAATAATAACGTTGTTATTACAACAATAATGTCGTTTGTTTCCCCATTAGAGGCTCGCCGAGTCTCGAGGCATGCTCTCGCTCGGTCGCGCCGTGCACTGGCTGGGTGGGATGTTCGTCCAGTCCCCCTCGTAAGTGTTTGGCTTGTGGGAGGAAATTGGAGTACGCGGTGAAACCCCACCACTCGTACAAGGGATTAACACTCAAAGCTCCGCACAGATAGATCGCTCTTTCGCAAGGGGGGGGGGGGAGAGGGGGGGGGGCGTGCGTTGGCGCAGCCAGCAGCGTCGCCGCTGAGGCTGAACGATGTTGAGTGGGAAGGAGGCGGGGGGGGGGGGGGGGCGGCGCTCATCGCGTGCGAATTAGCGGCCCACCTGGCGCGCGGAGTGGAGGGACGCTTGGCCGTGCTCGATGGAACGAGCGAGGAGAGCGCACGCAGGGGCCTCCGACTCTATCAGCCGTCTTAATTACCGAACTTAATTAGCGACGCTCTAAATGATGTTGAAGCGGTCCCCCGCGCGGCGAGTCCGAATTTAATTTGCATGAGGAGGCCGGCGCGGCGTGCGGATTTAAAAATAATGTCGTCATTATTAGCGAGTGTCAAGGGGCCAAGACAGGAGCTCTTGCCTCGACTTATGTTCAAAACGGTAATTTTGTTCTATCCCCCCCGCACCTCGGCTCTCAACATTAACATGCGCCCTGCGCATGTCGCTCGCTCGGTAGCCACGGCTGAGCGCGGCAGTCTTTTAGGAAAATTGTGTTCGCGCATCGCAAGCAGCTTTACCGACGATTCCCATCACAACCGCTGCCCCCCCCCGGCCCCGCGCCCCCCGCCGCTCACTCAGACGCTCCGGTTTCCGTGGCCGTTGCCGCTGCTCGGCGGGATGAGTCTCATCATCGCGGGTCGCGCTCAGCCTCACCCTAATCTTCCGGGGTCGTTCCGCCCCCCCCAAATCCCGCCCCCCCCAACTCCCGCCCCCCCCCCTCCGGCCACGTCGTGCCCGACCACCCATGACGCCGGTGAAGGCCGAGAGCCCGCCCGGCCTTCACCGTGGCTGCCCTCTTTTCGACCGACGACTCGGTGATTGGGGGGTGCTGTTATCACGATAGCCACGTGTGTCCTCTACGCGCGGTGACGTGTGTTCGCGATCGCGCTCCATCTCTCGCCTCTTGCTGCCCGGTGCTGCCAATCAATGGTTGATGACAGCATTGTACTCAAGCGTTAACCCCGATGCACGTGCCATAAATTAATTCACTTCTCATCAGTGACGTCCAGAGTGTGTGTGCGTATGCGCGTGCTGGTGCCTGTGCGTGCGGCTTTACAGCGGGCGGTCGCACACGAGGCACAATGCCGCACGACCTGGCCCTTGGCTTCTGACCCGCCCAGTGGACATTCATTCATTGATTTGTCAACTTTATTTTAAAAAGGCCGCAACCTATTGGAAATAAAAGTCTCTCGCTTGAGGGAGACCCGCGATCACACAGTATTACAGTGCACGTGCAGAGTCCGAGTCGCATCACAAGACTCACGCCCGTGCACGCCTGGACTACCCCCGTGGTGTCGGCGATGGTGAAGGGGTCGCACCGTTCGGCATTGGTCATCAACGCGCGGAGACCCTCGCGCCGGGCACGGCGCGGCGGTGACGTGCTCACCATCATCTCGCTCGTCAGAATGCGTCGCGTCCGGCCTTGACGCTGGCACGGACGCCCCCGGCGCCCACGAGCTCAGGAGGAAGAGCGGTCGGAGATGGACGCTGAACTGAGCGCGTGTCCCCCCGCAGCTGTCTCCGTGCTCGTCGTCGGACAGGAGGCGAGAGGGGGACATCCCGTCGCTGTCTCCCATCTCGTCCGAGGATCTTCAGCTGTCGGATCGTTACCAGGTGCCCCCCCCCACCCACCCCCGCCACTCGAATCCCCGGAACGGAGACTCACGTGAACTGGCTTTTGTAGTCAATCACCACTGCGATGCTGCACGCCGTTATTAATTATAGATGTTTGCAGAGGCGCACCAACAATCGTTTTCATCCTCCACCCCCTCCGCCCCACCCACCCCCCCGAACCCCCCCCCCCCCATAATAATCGCGCGCAACAACAGCAAAGGGTGGCCGCTTAAACAGGACCTCGACGCACGGCATCGATCGTTCTCGGCAACTGCAAACAAAAACCACGGAGCTCTGTTATTATTTTTAATTAACCACTTATTGAGCGATGGCGCACCGCTGGGCCGTACGACGCCACCTCCGACTGCAGCCTCAGTCCGCGCGCACGTATGCAAAACAAATTAATTGAATAAATCGCATTTCGTAAAAACAACACCAGTTTTATAAACAGCGGCGAACCGTCAAGAGCTTCCTGCGAAACAAGCCGCGCAGTTATTACGATCTCGAAGCGTTGGGCACTGGGTTAATTTTAAACTCACGGACTTCACGCTGACTCGGTTATACGAGGCTACGTCCCGCGGCTCACAAGGGACGTCACTTATTACCGAACAATTATCCCTCCAAACGCGTCTAACGAAGCGGAAATAAATTGCCGGCGCCCTCCCGCCGCTTTCCGCGGTGCCGCGTGATTCGCGATCGCCGCCACCGCCCCTCGTTCGTTCGCTCGATGAGAATTTGTCAGAAACTTGCGCTGGGAGTAACTCGATTAGGCGCCGTGTCATTAACGAGCACGCGGGGCGGGCGGACCGGCTCTTGACGCTGCTGCCCTGTTGCGTGCGTGTTCTGTCTCCAGACCTTCCTGCGCGTCAGATCCAACCGCCAGTCAAGACTCAATGGTGAGCGGCGGCGTCGGCCTCAGTTCGTTTTGTTGTTTGTAATTCTCACCCCGGTCGTGCGACAGATACACCCTCGAGAGCAGTGCATCGCCCCCTGCGTGAAAAAGGTCCGCTGAAGGAGGTGTCATGGAACTACTGCTGAGGTCTACAGACTAGGGGCTATTCCACGTGCCCTGCTCAGGAAAAAGTAGTCGCGCGAAAATATAATTAGCAGAGCTATAATTTTGCCTAATTCAGTGAAATATTAAATTGAACACGGGAGGGTTGTTTGTGCAGTCTTTGGTGACCTGGCTGAGACCATTATCTCGCTGCAGAACCACACGCAGTTGATCCCACACATGAAACCGAGGATCTCGGCATTGCTGGCTCAGCGTTTCTGAGCCCTAAGTCGCCCGGCCACCTCTGGCGTGTGGGTCCCCGGTGCCGACACCATCAGGGACACCAGCCTCTCTCCGCTTGTCGCGCGCCGTCCAGGCGCCGCGTCCGACGTTCCGTCGTGCGCGCCAGGGGCCGAGCGTCGGTGGGATGGGGGCGGGGTGCGAAACGTCGGATGTCGCGCCGAAGGACTCGCGGTGCAAAACCCGGATGTCGCATTCCCTCGCCCCCCTCCCCCGTCGCTGTTGGCGCCCGCCACCCGTCGGGCGAGTCCGTCGGAGCGTGCGGCCGAGCCGTAATCCCTCACACCTGGCACGGCCGTTCATCCCGCGAGGCAGAGGCAGCGGCGCGCGCAGCCGGTGGGCCCCGTACCCCCCTCCCCCGCCCCAGCCCGGCTCCGTGGGCCGGGTCCTCTGTTCGCTCGGGACAGGTGGAGGTGTGGAGCGGCGCCTCGCGTGCCCGGCAGCTCGCGAAGGCGCCACGGCGCGGCTCCTTTGCCGAGGGTGCCACTCGCTGAAGGTCGGCGGCGGAGCCGGTTGAGCCGGGGCGTTTTACGGCCGCCCTCATGCCCCATTACCGCCGGCACCGTGACCACGTTAACGAGATGCAGGTCCACATTAAAGTTGCGGTCCTCTTTATACTTCACTTTATTCATTAAAAAAAAACAAGTTCCAATGCAGCTGTTGTTGCCCGTCGGTTTACCGTTTCTGGGGCGAGGTAACGGCCGCGCCGAATAATCAAAAACCGATTTGGCTGTCGGCGTGGACAAAAAAACAACAACCTGCTCATTGGCCGTCAGCTGCAGCCGCCGCAGCAACAGCCTGGACTCGATTCCTCACAGACGCGCCTCGAATCCCCACGCGGCTGACGCTGAACTCTACCAGATGTCGATACGGGCAACAGCGCGGGCAGGGAACGGAACGCGCGGAAACCGCGAAAGCACAAAACAAGATCGTCGCAGGTCGCCAAAGCGACCGTTACTTGCCCAATTTAAATACAAAAATAACAAAAGTTGCTCCCTCTCCCGTGGCCGCCCCCCTTCCCCCCCCCAGCGCGCGCCAAACGCACCGCGGAGTTCACGGCGACGCCGCGTCACCGACGCTTATCAACGTCGGTGCCGCGAGGTGCTCCGGAGGAGATGTATCGACACCGCCTAATGAGCCGCCTTAAACTTTCCGCGGGGCAGGCGCGACGCAGTTCATATTGCCTATTGATCGCGTCGGCGACAGCGCCCCTCACCCCTCCAAAAAGGACTGGAAATCTGCCGGAAAGCAACTTAGCATCGATCTTTCTGCCCCTCATCATGGTGGGGGAGGGGGGGCAATCTGTAGGGAAATAACCGACTTTGAATCATTTATGCGCGGCCCGGGCAGCGACCGGTCACGGCGGCCGTTTACATCGGGGTAGCCGGCGGTCGCCGACCCGCCCGTTAGGTCGGTGAGGATTTAATGGCGTGTCGCTCGCCCCCCCCACCCCCCCGGCTCGTTGAGGTTTTGGCGGCGGTGGCAGCGACGGTGGCTCACGGGTTCGGCGCAAATGAGCAACGAGGGCAAGAAGGGGCCTTCTGCGTCGTTAGTCTCCTAACTAAGCCCAGGCCGCTCGAATAAAAGCGGAGGGCCCCCCCCACCCAGCATGCCCCCACCCCCCCGTCTGGCACCGCCGGGCGCGGGGATCACGGGGAGCGGAGACCGCGGGTGAGGGGAGGGGCGTGGGGGACAGGGGCGAAGGGATAAGGGGAGGGGGCTCACGGGGGCAGCAGCCCAAAGCCTAGTGACACTGCCAGCATCCCCGTCACTGCCACTGCATTTCCCTTTCTGTGTGTGTGTGTCTGTGTGTGTGTTTGTGTGTGTGTGTGTCTGTGTGGGGAGCGATAGTGCAGCGGTTAGCGCGCTGCACTATGAACCCGACGACACGAGTTCGATTCCCGCTCACGGCCAACACCAGTGACGATTATCTGAACCGGTCCCAGGCCTCCCCTAGGTCGACTCAGCCTCAAATGAGTACCTGGTGCGGTGTGTAAACATTGCTACTAGGGAGACAAAGGTGGTCGGGCGTGGTGCTGGCCACCCACCCCCTCGTGTACCGTTCTGGCCTTCATAGGTGCTCGCTAACAGCACTTGCGGGGAATCTTTGATCTTTGTCTGTGTGTGTGACTGTGTGTGTGTCTGTGCGTGTGTCTATGTGTTCGGCCTTCATAGGTGCTCACTAACGGCACTTGCCCCAAAAGTCTGTTAAGGCTGTTAAGGCTATGCGGAGGATCTTTGCCTTGGTGTGTGTTTGCGTGCGCGCCTGAATATGTAAACACGTGCGATCATTATACACCTTGGGAAAGTTGTATTTGTGTAAGCGCCACAAACCGCCTTGCACTCTGTCTCATGTCTCCGTGCCGACTCATTACGTCTCGCATCTCCAAGGGACGCCGCCGGTGGCTTGAGGCGCCGAGTAACTCTGCCGCTCTGCTGCGTGTCGCCCCCAGCTCGCATCGGGAAGAACAAGAGGAAGAAGCCGCTGGAGGAAGGGCAGGTACAGCGAGCTGGGGAGGGGGGCGGGGTGGTGGGAGGGGTGGTCAGTGGGGGGGTGGTGAGTGGGGGGGGGTCTCGCTTGGAGCCTTGCAGGCGGTGCCGACTGCTGCACAAAGTTTTCCCTCTCCGACCGCTACGCGGAGTTAGAGGGAACGTGCGCCTCTGTGTGTGTGTGTCTGTGGGGAGTGGTGGTGTAGTGGTTAGCGCACTGTGTGTGTGTGTGTCTGTGGGGTGCGGTGGTGTAGTGGTTAGCGCACTGTGTGTCTGTGGGGGGAGCGGTGGTGTAGTGGTTAGCGCACTGTGTGTGTGTGTCTGTGGGGAGTGGTGGTGTAGTGGTTAGCGCACTGTGTGTGTGTGTCTGTGGGGTGCGGTGGTGTAGTGGTTAGCGCACTGTGTGTCTGTGGGGGGAGCGGTGGTGTAGTGGTTAGCGCACTGTGTGTGTGTGTCTGTGGGGAGTGGTGGTGTAGTGGTTAGCGCACTGTGTGTGTGTGTCTGTGGGGTGCGGTGGTGTAGTGGTTAGCGCACTGTGTGTGGGGAGCGGCGGTGTAGTGGTTAGCGCACTGTGTGTGGGGTGCAGTGGTGTAGTGGTTAGCGCACTGTGTGTGTGTGTGGGGAGCGGTGGTGTAGTGGTTAGCGCACTGTGTGTGTGTGTGTGGGGAGCGGTGGTGTAGTGGTTAGCACACTGTGTGTGTGTGTGTGGGGAGCGGCGGTGTAGTGGTTAGCGCACTGTGTGTGTGTGGGGAGCGGTGGTGTAGTGGTTAGCGCACTGTGTGTGGGGTGCGGTGGTGTAGTGGTTAGCGCACTGTGTGTGTGTCCGTGGGGAGCGGTGGGGTAGTGGTTAGCGCACTGTGTGTGTGTGTGGGGAGCGGTGGTGGTCCATGGGCTTCCCCAAAGTGCAGCGTGCAAACATCAGCAGAGGGGAGACAAAGGTGGCCGTGCGTGGTGCTGGCCATCCACTCCGCTCGCCTGCCACATGCACGCCTTCGTAGCTGCTCGTTAACAGCATGTGCACCAAGAGGTGGTTAAGGATGAATTGGAGATCTTTGTGTGTGCGTGCGTACGTGGCTGTGCGTGCGTGTGTACACGGCAAAGTACTGGGCACAGCTCCCAGAAGCCCCGAGCGGCGGCATGAGAGGCATTTCATTCGGCCACGTGCGGTCCCTCGACTTTAGCCTGACCCCGTGCGTCACCGTTTGCCGTGTCTGTGCCGGCATTAACGCGAACTCCGTTTGTGTCCGGGCTGCCGGCTACGCTGTCATCGCCGCCGCCTGCCGGAGCAGTACGATGGATCGTTCGCCAACGAGGACGAGGAGATGGAGACGGAGGGCGAGCGGAGGGTGGGAGGAGGCCACCATCGTTACGACGAGTTCGAGTGGTGCCGGCCCCCGCGACTGCCCGCGCCGCCACTGCTCGACTGGCGCCGCCAAAGGTGAGTCCAGAGTGCGGCGCTCGCGACCACGGTGCTTGTGCCAGGCTATGTGCACCTTGAAGTGTCAGAGGTTCGCTGGCAGGAGGTCACGGGACAGGCCCAGGTGTTACGGGTTGACGGGCCGAGATGACTGACAGATGCACCAGCTGCGCTCCCCACCGTGCCACCCCGCTGTATTTTAGCCGCCCGGCGCTCCGCTCGTTGTTGTGAGTGCCACTCCTCCGCCCGGTAGCGCTCACGCTCGCACGCTCGCTCACTCACTCGGCATCACAAACGCCACGGCCACCGCGAGGGCAATAACCGTAATGTGCACCCTCTCCGTCTTGCGCGTCCTAATTACAGTGGCAGGATTTCGTGCCGTTTCATTTAGGCCGCTCATCAAATATTTAAGCGCGTGTCACTTATTGTCAATTCCTGCTCCACCACGGCTGTCGCCCGAGGGGTATCGGTGGAGGTGGGGGAGGAGGGCGGGGGGTGTGGCTCTGTCAGCAGCCCAACCCCCCCCCCCCCCCCTCAGTGTCTCCCGTTGGACTCCTGAAGGCGGTGCCCCCTCCGTGCAGTCTCCACGGAGCGGGGTGTCAGGCCGGGGCGAGCGACACCTATTGGGGGGGGCCGTGCCCCCCCCCCCCCCCAATTCCTCCCCCCCCCCCCCGAGCCTCCCTCTCCGGGCCTCGCCGTCTTGGGAGCCTCTGCCCGGCGAGCAGCGTTAATTGGCTGCGATTAATTACGCGCAGAGGCGTTAATTGACCGATTGGTAATTGATTGATAGACTTTATTTGACCAGGTGGGATTCCCAGCGAGGCTTCTGTCGCCTCTGACGCGACAGCAGAACTGGCACAAAGCGAGTGACAGCCGATAACAGTGCAGCGCAGAGCCTCGTGCCCGGAGCTGTCAATCGTCCAGCGGAGCGAAACGCTCGCGTCTCGAGCACAGGTCTCGGACGCGCGGCCGCCTGGGGTCTGGTCTCGCTCGTGCTACCACGATAGCCATCGCATCTCAGGGGGAAGCCGAGACGCAGCGTGCGCTGTCGGAAGCGCGTGATGCAATCTCCTCGTCATCGCCTGGACATCTGTGAAAAAAGAGCTTTGTAGCGCAACGGATTCCTCCAGTATCAATCGGTATTCTGATTCTGCGTACGATGGCGTCATCGCCTGCCGTGTTTGAGTGCTCCGAGTTCTCCACTCCCAGGGCGATGCCGCTCCTCCTGAGTCGTTTGTGCCCCAGGTAATTTACACGAGACGCGTTCACGTTGGAAGTCCTGGACATTTCTCGTGAAGGCTCTCGAGTTTACCTCCGCTTATTATGTTTAATTTATATTATTTTATTATTTCCATTCTACGTGACTTCACCGAAAGAACCAAGAAGATGAATCCCTGCGGTCACGAAAGCTTTAATTCGAAATTGCTGCCTCGAGTTTGCCGCATTTTGCCAACCGCTTCCTGACTATCGACTCGAACTCGGAGGAATGGCCAGAGAGTGTTTGTACGTACGTAAAAACCCCCATTAATGAATCATGGTGAAATATTTCCACCGTTTGTTTTTACCTCAGTCAAAGGTTAGAGGTTGTTTAAAGGTCATCTTAATAAAGGTAGGTCACTGGTTTCTTCCAGACATAATGAGGCCTCGCTCAACTTAGTCGGCCGACGTTTATTCAAATGCTGTGACCGCCGGACACGCAACTCTCCTCTCACAGTAATTTCTCCTGACACCGCACAGTTCCCATAACCGTAGAACGACCAGAACCAACTCCACTCCACTCCGCTAACTTGTACCATTATACCTTAACGGGAATGCCTGTAGCATTCGTAGCTGTGCATTAAAATTGAGAGCTCCGGTAGCGGGTAGGGGCAGCCGATGGGGGATAGGAGAGGGATTTCTGGCCATGTAATTTGCCGGCTGCCTTCCCGCGGCTCGACGCGCCAACGTCGGGGATAATCGCAAAGTTTGGCGGCGAGTGCCGCTGACACGGCCGCCGACACGGCCGCTCTCGGCCGTGCTCGGCGAAAGGGGATTACGAGGCAGCGCGGGCGCTCGGCCGAGTTCAGTGCCCGGGGTCCGCGGTTGTAAATAGCGAGGCCCCGGGTCACCGCGCGGCGGGTGTCACCGCTATCGGCACACTTACACACGCACGCACGCACGCACGCACGTGCGCCCTTCCCTGCCCCCACCCCCCCGCTCCCTCGCCCGCCCGCTCACGAGTCTTCGCTAGTCCCCACTCCGCGAGCGGCGGCATCGATTTGTCGTGGGAGGGCGCGGGGCGTGAGCGCGCACACTACGCGCGCTCGCCAGCACCGTCGCCGCCGCCGTCGCCACCGCCGCTCACTCTTGCCCCCCGCTCGCTCGCTCGCTCGCTCGCTCGCTCCCCGGGCGGTGATTGAAAGGCATTTAAAGCGCTGCTGACCTTTTCCTGTGGGGATTGGATTACCTGTCAGCTCCTCTTTAGGCGGAGCGGTGGACGTGGCTTAGAGTGGGGCTGACAGCAAGGTGAAAGCCACCGCTCTGGGCCTCCTTATTTATTTATTTGCGCCACGATTTTCGGTGCAAGGGCGATGCGCGGACACCAGATTTAATTTTATTTAATTCCGTTTTTTTTTACTAATGTGGCCTAAGTCCCGTGCGAAAGGGCGCGTCGCAGGCAAGCGGCCGCGAATCCCCATTTGCGGGCGGATCCCAATATTCCGCGAAGATGTTAAATGTGTCTCGAGTCGCGGCGTGTTTGTATAGACTTATTTCATCACGAGTCGGGAGAATGATTAGATTACAGTCGGAACAATCTCCGTCGTGCCGCCAGTGCAGACGGCAATTTGTCTAAAACACGGCCACCCTCCAAATATGATTGCCGCTCAGCAGGTCACTTACGGCATAAATACTCCCCCGAGTGACACGTTTAGCATTTACACGATTTCCGTTTAATGCCCCCAGTCACGTGCCGCTCCTGATTACCGATGGCGGCAGTGTTTTGAGAGCGCGCCGCGTCTCCCGCCCGGGCGCTAAATCCCCGCTGCGGCCGTGCCGGGCGGAGGGGAGAAAAGAGAAAGAGGAAAAAAAAAACCCAAGAAAAGCTCCCCTTGCGGTTTTGCTGCCGCCGCCCCGGCGAGACTGGGATCCGAGCGGCACTCCCGGAAGAATCCGCACGGTGAGGACAGCCGCGTCCTCGCCGTCGCGGGGGGAGGACGTTATTTTCGCCACCCGCGCGATCGATGCAAAGTCACCTCCCCACATCGCACGCGGTGCGCTAACAGCCTCGTGATCCATGAACGCTTTGGGGCAGCGGCGGTCGAAAAGCCGCTGATGCATTGATCAAATTAGCAGCGATTCGGGCCGGGAAGGAGCGGTTTTCGGCAGGCCCTCTTGACCGGGCAGTGCCGCACACCGCCCCCCCGCCCCGGGCCGTCCCATTTAAATACGACCGTGAATTAGTGTCGCCGTTTGTCAGGATGGCCGCGGGGCCCAGGGACGTGTGTAATTGGACCTCGGGCCACAACGAGGGGTGCGATCCCTCACCATAATGGTCCGAGATGGAGCTCACCCGCTCGCCCGCCTGTCCGCCCGCCTGCCCGCCCGCTCGCTCATGGAACGAGCGTGTGCTCGCGGCCCACTCCGCTGTCAATCTGTCGGCCCCCGCGCGGTCCCAGCGCCGGGGCACAGCCGCCTCGCGGAGTTGCACTTTCCGATTTGTGTCCCGTGTAATATGCGTCTGTGTGTGTGTCTTTCTTTGTCTTTGTGCATGCGTGTGTGTCTGTGCGTGCTCGTTAACAGCACTTCCCCCAACACGTGTGTGTACGTGTGTGTCTGTGTGCGTTTGTGTCCGTGTATGTGTGTACGTGCATGCGTGCGTGTGTGTTGGGCGCTAGTGAAATGTTGTGATTTTGCTGGATGGGGGGAGGGGGGGGGGGCGTGGAGGAGGCACAGACTTATGGTACGCAGTGGATTAAGGGAAGTTAAAAATTTAAGTTTTGCATGACGCTATGGTGTTCACCATATGGTCGTATGATGGGGTCGCTCCCTTGTTTGTTTCTCAGTGTGTATGTGCACGTGTGCGGACGCACATATGACATGTGTGTGTGCGAATGGTGGTAGAGTGGTTCACACACTGCACTATAAACCTGGCAACTTGGGTTTGATTGCCGGCCATGGGACACAGCAGTGCCAAGTGCCACCTGGGCCTTTCCTGCACCCTTCCTTTATCGTTGACTCGGCCTTAAACGACCACCCAGATGCAGTGTGTAAACAAATATCGGCATTGGGGAGACAAAGGCGGCCGGGCCGTGGTTCTGGTCAGTCCGCCCCCCCCCCCCCCCTTGCACACCGCGCCGGTCTTCGCAGGCGCTCGCACTTGCCCCAAAATCTGTGCCTGAGGCTACCTGGGGGACGTTTGTCTTGGCAGGCGCTCACCCGATGCTGGCGCTGTCCGCGCTGCACGGCGCTCGCCTCGATGGCCACGACAGCGACGCGGACCTGGACGTGGACGGGGACGACACGCTGGACTACGGCAAGCCACAGTATCCTCCACCCCCCTCCGCTGACGGCGCACCCCCACCAGCACCAGCAGCAGCGCCGTTGCCGCCACCACCAGCGGCACCACCACCAACATCACCAGCAGCACCACCAACACTACCTGCACCAGTACACCCATCAACACCAACCCCGTCACCACCAGCACCAACAACATCAACTCCACCAGCAGCAGCACCGCCAACACCACCACCACCAGCAGCACCACCACCAATACTACAAGCATCAACACCAGCAGCAGCACCACCGCCAACAGCACCCCCATCAGCACCACCACTAATACCACAAGCATCAACACCACCGCCAGCACCACTGCCAGCACCACCAGCACTAGCAGGCCCTGCAGAGTTCGGTGGGGAGAGCCAGTGTTTGGCAAGGCTTCCTTGACAACGCGACGCTCCAGGTACTCGGAATCGGACATCATCCCGTGCAGCACGGGGGACAGAGGCGGCGGCGGGGAGCAGCCGGCGCGCGAGAGCCCTCGCCCCGCCGGTGCCAGGTGAGCGGCGCGCCGCCAGCGTCACTCCCGAGTCATCCCACGCAGGCCGCTCTATGCCATCCTTGCACTCAGATACATATATCCGTGTATATATATTGCATCGTGTGCTACAATGCCTGCTCAGCAAGAAGTATCGATACACTCTCTTCGGTATTTTATTTTCGAACAGTTGTTAGTACGCTGAGATCAGAGGTCTCCTCTTGGCAAGGGGGTTGCGGCGTGCGACGCGGGGTTGAAGGGAACGCAGGGCGGTCCGAGCGCTCAGCGGTGCGGACGAGAGGAGTCGCCGTGGCCACGCGGGGGGGGGGGGGGGCGGTGACTTTGGGCGACTTTGAGACGGCTTGTCGAAGCCACGGCGTCTCTCTTCGCGACGGTCTACACTCGTGAATTTGTAGCTCTATTGCCTTCCGACACCAGTTAAATTTTAATATTAAATGAGTTGGTGCGGGCGGGCGGGGTGGGGGGAGGTTTCGGAAATTGCTGCTCATCAAAAATCCGAGCTGCCTCTTGAAATTTAATTTAAAAGTGTGCCCGAATGAGCGCTCCATTCAGAGGGAGGGATTCCCTCGGCCCATGTGGTTCGGTGGTAAATCCCGCCGTTAAATAAAGTAACGCGGAACATAAAAGTTTTAAGTCACAAAACGACTCGGCCAAAGGCTCTCCTCAAGGCTCGTCTCCGCGTCTGTGAGAGAGAAGCGGGACCCCCACCCCCCCACCCCCCCCACCCCCCCACCTCCCACGTGCGGCGCGCTCCGCGCTTCCCCGAGCGTTGTTGACGGGAGCCACGGAGCGGCGGCATGCGGGCGCGACACTCGCACCGCAGCGCCGCCCCCGCCGGCACCCGCATCGCCGGCCGACCGTGCCGTGGGAGCCGTCTCCCGGCTCCGACCGGCCGGCCGTCATGCGTGTCCCCGGCAGGTGTTAATGCGTCCCGGCGGCGGCGACGGCGAGCGCGGGACGGCGCTGAACGAGTCGCCCGTCCTGCGGATGATTGCGCGCGAGGGGTGGGGGGGCGGGGGAGCGATCAAGGAGCCCGCCGAAAGTCGCCGACGAAACTCGAGCCCGCGGTCCAATCCCAGGGCGAATCTGATATAAAAACACGCGGCGGAGGAACTTTGTTTACGGCACGCGCCGACAGCTCTGAACAATGGCGGCCCTGATGCGGGCCGCCGGGCCGCCGTGCCGCGTCGCGCGCGTGAGCGACGTGGCGCGATCGCGGCGGCGGCGGCGCAAGGCGGGCGACCGCACCTGTAGCGCCGTCCGTCTCGGCCACGCGCACTCGACACCTGTGTTTCCGTACGCGCCCGCAGAGCCCGGCGTTATCCCGCGCGCCCCCCCCCCTTCCCCTCCTCCCCCGCGCCGTGACTCACGCGCGCTCGTCTCCCCGCAGTGCGGACGGCTCGCCAGCTCCCTCCGCGCGCCCCGGCTCCGAGGCCGCTACGTGGCCCAGCGACGGTACGGAATGCTCCGTCTCACCTCCGTCTCACCTCCGTCTCACCTGCACCACCAGCCAACACCTCCGGCTCCCCCCCCCACACCCGCACCATCCCATCGTCGCAGCCTGAAATCCAGCGCTGTTTATCGGCACTCACAAACGTTATTTTGCAACTCAGCGCTCGTTCCTTCATTCATTCATTGTCTCACCCCAGCACGCAACTGTAACATATGTATAAGAATTAAAAGCACATGGACCACATTCATCATGAATAATGTTTTTGGACGGTGATCAGTGTGCACGCTATGGAGGAGATCAAGCAGTGAGGAGTGCGATATCCGTCTGCAAGGCATTCTCTCTGCTCTGAGACAGGGCTCAGCCTGTGACATTCCCTGCCGCTGTGAGGCCTGGATAACGATGAACCTGGGAAGCGGGTGAAATTCAAGCTTGCGTGCTACTGCCAACAATGGCCCCTAGCTGTTTAGTTTACCGAGGATGCAATTAAGGGAGTCTCGTGCAGTGACCGCGTCTTTAACCTGCAATGTGCACTGGCAGCACTCGTTGGGAGCTAGTGGTCCCCCGCTCGGGCCAGGAGCATTCAGGAAATTACAGTTTGTACGTTTAACTTCTTTCGCACCGTACCAAGCCAACCGTGATAATCGGAGGTGCGGGGGGGGGGGCGAACAACAAACCAGATACAACAACAACAACAAGCAGTTTTGAAGAAATTAGTTTTCAATCTCGATTCAAAAGTGCACGGCTCCAGCGGTTTGGCTCTGCCCTGCCGCCAGCGGCCCCGGGGCGGCCTCGCATATTAACACCCGCGGCCTCGTCCTCTTGCGTGACCGCAGAGACCCCGTCCACGAGCGCCGGCGAGGGAGACGGCGCCACCGCCGCCGCGCAGGAGCAGCACAAGTCGGCGGAGGGGGACGGCGACAAGTAAGCGAAGCGGCTCGTCGGACGCGGGGAGGGGAGGAAGAGGGGGGGGTGGCCCCTCCGCTGACGGGCGGGAACCGTCGCGGCGGGCGGAGAGCCACGGTGTGAGATGCAGCTGAGCGGGAGAGGAGGTGTCGCGAAGTGATATCGGGTTCCTCCAGTCTAAATAAATATTCAGATTCCGAAGTCGTGGCCGTCGCCCGATGTCGCGAGCGGGAAGAGCTCTGGCATTGCAACCGGCGCGCGATTCCGCTGTTCAGTTCACTCCCGCGACCAAACTGCTCCCTGCATGTGCCCAGTCTGGTAGGATTTTGGAAGCTGAGCGCCCTTGTGTCCGCGTAGCAGGTCAGTTGCTGACCCGGCGAATGAAACTCATCCCAGTCTCTCTTGAGTTCTTACCGAGTTAAACAAATAAACTTGACTTGCCCTGGCCGGGCATGTCGGTGGCGTCACGTAGCCGCCTTCCGCTGGAGTGCGTGACCCTGGGGGAGGGCAGGGGCGGGGGAGGTCAGTCTGGCAGCTGGGCCCTGAGCCCACGGCCATCGTCACCACCGGCACATGATTTGGCCCGTGGCCTCTATCCCGGGCCGGCGCAATTAGACGGGAACCGTGATCGTGCGGAAAGAGCGCGCGTGGAGGGGTTTCAGGATTTACCTAATTGTTGCTCATTAGCGGTAATCAAGCAGCGCGTGTGAGTGCCGTGCACATTACCGGGAAGCCGTGCCAGTACCGATCGCGACGAGCGGCGCGCGGCTAAGCGGCGCAGAATAACGAAACATTAAACATCTGAAATTAGGGAAATCCAGTTACGTTCTGTTTATTTTTTGGTACGAAAAAAAAAACCATTGTAATTATTCACAGGCCGCTTTCCGTACAGCTGCGGAGTCGAGGGGATTATTTAGATTTTGTTGTTGTAATTTAATTATTTGTTTGTAATATTTAATTTAACTTGCATAAGCTGTTTGTCACCGCTTGATGAACGGCGGCTGCGGCGGTGGCTTTATTAAAGTGCAGGCTTCCGCTCGCGCTGACAGCTCCACGTCGGGCCAGCGAGGTGACTGATTTATTAAGAACCACGCGCTGCCTCCTCCTCCTCCTGCTGCTGCTGCTCCGCAGGACTCTCCACACCGCGCGGCCGCGTGATGTATCGCGCCGTGAAATGTTACGCAGCGCGTATAAATCAATTTTGATAAATTCCGTCTGCCTCGCAACCCGACCTGTCTTTTAAAAACTCAGTCGCGGTAAAGAAAAGGACTGTTACTCATCGCGAGGTGTCATTTTTCAAAAAGGGATATCTTGCCAAAAAAAGGGGGCTTTGATTCCTTGAACCACTAGAGCGCGGCGCTGTAAAGTAAAAACAACAAAAAGCGTGACCGGTGAAACATCGCGGCGCCGTGTTTTGGAACGTCCCGGCGTGATGGAGGTGAGGCCTTGATTGAGGCGGCGCCGTCTGTTGTTTACTAGGACGTGCGAAACATTTTTTTTCGTGAAATTCCGGGAAATGTAGTTGGAAATAAAGCGAGTGGGAGAGCAGGCATCCGCCATAGTTAGCCCCCCCATTCGCACTCGGGAGCCACGGCGCTGGCGGGGAAGCGTTGCCAGGCCCATCCTGGCGAAGGTGCCGACCTCGTCGACGCCAGCCGGCAGCGTTCCCGCGCAACCACGAGAGTCCGTGGCAGAGCTGTGGTGACTGCCATTCAGAGACGGTGGAAGGAGCGGTGGTGTAGTGGTTCATGCACAGTGGCACAGTGCTAAGAACCCGGCCACCCTGGTTTGATTCCCAGCCTGGACCCCTGCCCCCCCTCCTCTCCAACTACACCGACCCACACTGAACAAAGTGGCGGAGTACGGTCAGACAATGCCCACACCGCACACAGCAAGCCCCTCAACCTGCGGCGGATGGACACGGCTGCCGTACGGCAGATGAACAATATTCGCCGGCGAATCGATGCAGCGTCACGCGCCGGGCGGGGAGCGAGCGTGGCGGTCACGTGGGGAGGCCCGGCGGCCTCTGGGCAGGGGGCCGGCACCGGCGGCACCATCGCCGAGTCCTCGCCGGGACCGGTCTCTCCGCCGAGAGCGACCGTGTCTGAGCGTCTCTCCGGCGACCCCCCCCCCCCCACCCTCTTGACCACCACCCCCCCCCCCCACTCCCAGGACGGGTCGCGGTGACGAAGTGTCGGGGGCCGTCGTGGCCGCCCTGAAAACTCGCATCCACGACCTGGAGCGGCAAGTGAAACGAGGAGACAAACACAAGTGTCTGATCTGCATGGTGAGTTCCACCGCCACTCCGCATGCCACCCCCCGCTGCCCCCGCCCCCCATCGAGACCCTTCCCAGATTTATCGATGCCCCGGCGTATACGGCGCTCTATTGAACACAAATCATTATCGTGATTATGCTCTCCGGACGAGTCCTCTACGTCTCTCTCTGTGCGTGTCTCTCTCTCTGCGTGTCTCTCTCTCTGCGTGTCTCTCTCTCTGCGTGTCTCTCTCTCTGCGTGTCTCTCTCTCTCTGTGTGTCTCTCTCTTTCTGCGTGTCTCTCTCTCTGCGTGTCTCTCTCTGCGTGTCTCTCTCTGCGTGTCTTTCTCTCTGCGTGTCTCTCTCTGCGTGTCTCTCTCTGCGTGTCTCTCTCTGCGTGTCTCTCTCTACGTGTTTCTCTCTCTGCGTGTCTCTCTCTCTGCGTATCTCTCTCTCTGCGTGTCTCTCTCTGCGCATCTCTCTCTGCGCATCTCTCTCTCTACGTTTCTCTGCGGCGGGCCGTGCTCGTGCCGCACTCACGACGGGGCTTGTGTGCGTTGCAGGACTCGTACGCGCTGCCGCTCACCTCCATCCAGTGCTGGCACGTCCACTGCGAGGAATGCTGGCTCCGCACCCTGGTAATTGATTCATTACAGCAGCTTGCCCCCGAAACCCCACGCTACACAAACAACATCGAAATCACAAACGCGCACTCCACGCCGCCGCCGCTCGCTGACGGGAAACCAGAGTCAAGCCAGCGCAAAAATGCAGAACCGGTGGCAACTCCAATTATGTTAATTCGTTTATAAAGTTTTTTTTTTTATTTAAAGCTCGGCGCTCGGTTCAGGAGGCTACGGGGCGCGCTGAAAATGAACCCCGCACCCCGCGGGCCGCTGGCTTGTCAGCCGGTGATCCCCGGGCGGGAGGGCGGGCGGGTAGGGTGTGTTTACCCTCAGCAGATACCGGAGCAGAACGGTGGTGGTGGAGATTACCGCCGTGTTGTGATTCACGACCCAAGCGCCGCGTCGCCAAATTCTCCGTCCCTCCGCCACCGCGACCGCCGGGCAATCAATCGTGTGAACAAACACCGTGGGTGGGTGGGTGGTCGGGTGGGTCAGGGGTCAGGGGTCAGGGTGCGGAACGACCCTCACTTCGACGCACTTTCAACTTGAGCACGACTCGTTCAGCTGTTAGCCCAAAAGTTTACTCCCTTTGTGCAAGGGCACCGCCGGCACGCACGCCACGGATTTAACTGAGGCCGGTTTTGTCGCACGTGGCGTCCGGCTTTGGTAACGACCCTGGGACACCGTGATGAGTCGCTCGGCAGCGCGGCACCGCTCCCTTCGCTCGGCCGTCCCCGTCGGCCGCCGTCCACTTGACTCGGCAACATAAACGATGGAGGGCCCTCCTCTCACCGCTCTGTTGTGGCGCGTCTTCTCGTTTCTTTCCCCCCGATTGTTGCAGGGCGCGAAGAAGCTGTGTCCCCAGTGCAACACCATCACCTCCCCCGGAGACCTCCGACGCGTGTTCCTGTAGTGGCGGGGCCGGGCCCCCCCCCCCCCAACTCCCCCCAACTCTCCCCGCCGCCGCCGCCGGCTCCCGTCCGGAACGAAGGGGACACTTCCACCGAAATGTCACGTGCCTCGGCACCGATCGGTGAGCGTCGGCGCTGACGGGGGCGCCGCGAAAACGGACCACCGGTGTGAGCGATGGCAGCGGAGGCGGAGGAGGAGGCGCCCAAATTGTACGCGTTTTTCCGTGCGTGTCGTTTTTTTTCTTCTCCGTTCGCGTTTTTCGTCTGTGGGGGGGGGGGGGGCGGGGCTTCCCTGTTCAAGGCCCCGTCCGCTGAGGCCACGGCGGCGGCACGGGTGGTGGGTGTTTTTTTTCGGGGGGCGGGCGAGCGAAGGGGTTTGTGGCCCCCCTTCTCTCGCAGTCCCCGCCAATGACAAAGATGATGATGCTGCTGCTGCTGCTATCGCTGCCTCTCGGTTCCTGGAAAGTTTTTGTTTTTCCAGTTCTCACTTCCCCCCCCCCCCCTGTCGTCCCCATTAAACGTGACGACGGCGGCGGCGGTGGCGGCACGCACAGCTGCACGGGCGCCGGAAACTTCTCAGTAACGGAGCGTATATTTCTTGCCGCTTATTTAAGTAAATAAAGACAACAAAGCAAACGCTCAAATAATAATGGTGAATAGGAATCTGCTGCCAATGCATTGGCTTGTTATTTAAATGTCATGTCCAAAAAGTTTTTTTTTTCTGAACAGAGGTGTATTAAAATCGGGCCAAAACTGTATGCATAGGCTGCCCGTTTAGCTTTCTTCCGGAAGATATTTTGTCGTTCATGTAAAGTCGTGATGTCGTGATGTTGTACAGAGGAAATTCTATAAAATCGGCGAAGCGCCGCCCGCGCGTGAACCCTGCGGACACGGGGGGCGAGGCGCGAGAACTCTCCCCATAACCCCCCCCGCCCCCCCCCTTCCTTCACAACCCGTCACGAACGCACACTCGGGACACGGAGGAAATCGCGTCGACGGAGCGACCGCGGAACGGCCAACCGACGCGCGGGTCCCGCATCTCGCACGCATCTCGCACGCAACTCGCACGCGCGTGCGATTCGCAGCAACGTTTTAAAAGCACAACTGCAACGAGGAGGCCACGTGCTCTCTCTCTCACCGGTCTCGTGGTGTGACGAACGCCGGTGCCGTAGCAGCGCCGGCGCGATCCCGGTGTCGTCGCCCCCCCTCCCCCCCCCCCCCCCCCCGGCCAACGTTCTTACCGCTCGCCAAAGGATGCAAATCCCTGCCGCTCGCCCAAAACGCCCCCACCGGGGGAAGAGTTTCGGGCGAAATGAGTTGTTCCTTGCAAGTCCCAGTCTCCTGACCTGTCTGAACGATCCAGACCAATCGGTGTGTGTGTATGGAGTGTGCGTGTGTAGAGTGTGTGCTGTGTGATGCTGTGTCTCGATGTGTGTGGCGCGTACCATGTGCGATTCTGTGTGTGATGCTGTGTGTGTGTGCTGCTGTGTGTGTTTGATGCTGTGTGTGTGACGCTGTGTGTGTGTGTGATGCTGTGTGTGTGCTGCTGTGTGTGTGCTGCTGTGTGTGTCGTGTGTGTGTGATGCTGTGTGTGTGCTGCTGTGTGTGTTTGATGCTGTGTGTGTGACGCTGTGTGTGTGGTGCTGTGTGTGATGCTGTGTGTGTGCTGCTGTGTGTGTGCTGCTGTGTGTGTCGTGTGTGTGTGCTGCTGTGTGTGTGATGCTGTGTGTGTGTGCTGCTGTGTGTGTGGTGTATGTGTGTGGTGTGTGTGTGTGGTGTGTGTGTGCTGCTGTGTGTGTGATGCTGTGTGTGTGGTGCTGTGTGTGTGACGCTGTGTGTGTGACGCTGTGTTTGTGACGCTGTATGTGTGACGCTGTGTGTGTGACGCTGCATGTGTGTTGCTGTGTGTGTGGCGCTGTGTGTGTGGCGCTGTGTGTGTGCTGCTGTGTGTTTCATACTGTGTGTGTCATGCTGTGTGTGTCATGCTGTGTGTGTGTGCAGTGTTTGTGATGCGGTGTGTGTGCTGTGTGTGTGGTGCTGTGTGTGTGATGCTGTGTGTGTGACGCTGCGTGTGTGATGCGGTGTGTGTGACGCTGTGTGTGTCATGCTGTGTGTGTGGTGCTGTGTGTGTGGTGCTGTGTGTGTGGTGCTGTGTGTGTGACGCTGTGTGTGTGGTGCTGTGTGTGTGGTGCTGTGTGTGTGGTGCTGTGTGTGTGACGCTGTGTGTGCTGCTGTGCGTGTGTGTCATGCTGTGTGTGTGCTGTGTGTGTGCTGTGTGTGTGATGCTGCGTGTGTGACGCTGTGTGTGTGACGCTGCGTGTGTGTTGCTGCGTGTGTGACTGATGTGTGTGTCATGCTGCATGTGTGATACTGTGTGTGTGCTGCTGCGCGTGCGGCCGACTTCTGCTCCGAGCGCCGCTTCACCCTCTTAGAGTAGCTCTCGACGTGACCTGGCGGATTGAACGCCAACCCGCCATGGAGCACGTGGAATTATCACCCAGTCCCTTATATTATAAATATTCACAGGCAGCCAATTCCAGCCGGCCACTGACCCCTGACCTTCAGTGCAGCGTGTGTGATATAGGGGGATCATGATGACCACAATGAATCGTCGATAAAATGTCGACGCTTACATCTCACGACGGCGCGCTGTCGGATTGCCGCGCGTCATAAGCGACGTTTCTCGATTTGTATATATGTTGTACGTAACGGGGTTCGCGTGACCCCTGCCGCCACTGGAGGGGCTACCATTCACTGCAATGTTAAATAATAGATTATTATTGAATCGAATCGCCGTGGTGAGGGTGCGGGTGGGGGGGTCAGTGGGGTGGTGAATCGTTACACCTCCGGTGTGATGTATCTGGGTGTGCGGTGTGAGTGTCTCTCTCTACCGCAGCGTCTGCCAGATGTCTCTGTTAGCGTGGAGGGGAGTGACTGCTCGCTCAGCGCACTTGATGGACCATGTCAGGGGAATCCTCTCTCTCTCTCTGTGTCTCTCTCTCTCTCTGTCTCTTTCTGTGTGCATCTTTCTCTGTCTCTCTCTCTGTGTCTGTCTCTCTGTGTGTGTCTCTCTCTGTCTGTCTTTCTCTGTGTGTCTCTTTCTCTGTGTGTGTCTCTCTCTCTCTGTGTCTCTCTGTCTCTCTCTGTCTGTCTCTCTCTGTCTCTCTCTCTCTGTGTGTCTCTCTGTGTGTGTCTCTATCTCTCTATGTCTCTCTCTCTGTCTGTCTCTCTCTGTCTCGAGTCCAGCTCCAAGCCGAGCAGCGACACTGGCCCGCTCCGTTCCGTTTTTTTTGTTTAATACGCAGAACTCCGTGCGATATCGGTGGCGTCTGCGTGACGCGTGACATAACCGCCATCACGTAACACTCATCGGATGAGACCACGCTCATCGGATCTCGGGAGCTAAGCCGGTGTGAGCCTGCGTAGCGCCTGGACGCATTGCCATCAGGGCTTTGCCAGCGGCGGTAGACACGAGTAGGCGAGTTTGCAACGTGATGGCAGTGCCAAGTGTCCACCCCCTCTCGAGTTATGGGTTTTCTCCGCGGTCTCCATTTTCTCCCCGCACGAAGCCAAATCAGATGTGATTGACCACACATCCCATGGTGTGAGGGACGAAGGCGACTGAGACTCGTCGGGATTTTCGCCATGATTAATTGACACGCATCATCATTAACAGTATTATGATAACAACAAAAATGGAACCAGACTGGTCCGTTCACAGCACCTCGAAGACGAAGCCGTGCAGCTTTAGTCAAAACACAATTCGATTCCAGAAATGTGCAAAATTTAACCCCACGGGGAGACCGGTGGTGTGAGATTTGGGTGACTACTGCGCTGCCTAAGAAGCACGTGGACTCATCGTTCACGCCTCGCCAAAGTCCGCGGGACTCCCTAAAGAGCTCCCCGTGCCGGGCAATGTTGGGTAGAGCGGGAGCCACTGGAGCAGACTCACGGAGTCCGAGGAAGACCCGCGCGTGACGGTTTGTGTGGTGGTGGTGGTGGTCGGGGGGGGGTGAAAGGTGTCACCGTATTATCCGGATTCTAAGACGCACCCGAAATGTCAGTACTGTCACACGCGCGCCTACCGGATTATAAGACGCACCCACGACTCCCCCCCCCCCCATTCATATCCACGGAGTTGCGTGGAGGGGGGGGGGGGTCCCGTAGTGCGTCATTACCTGGAGAATACGGTGACAGGACCCGCGCGGCCACCAAACACACACGCAGCCCTGAACCTCGTAGCTTACACGACCCAGTGCAAGGCCGTTGCGTCTTTTTGTTTTGTATCCCTCGTTAGTGACGACAACAACAACAAAGAGACGCGTTACGGTCAGGCGCACAGTCGTATCGCTCGTGACGTCACAGCGGGTCACGTGTCACCCATCGTCACAAGGGGGATGGCCGCCCCACGTGACTTGAGAGTATTTTTTCAATGTAATTTAAAATAAACCACATTTTTAAAAATGTCATTAAATAATAACGCATCTGTCGGATAGCCCGGGACACACACACACACACAGAGACAAGGTAGGCGCGCGCGTGTGTCTCACAAGTTCAGATCTGCCTGTCGATTGAGGCTAGCGTCTCTTTAAACAAATGGATATCGGAGATAGCAACAACAACGACAACGACGACACATGGCGCGGGCTAACGAGTTGAGCTCCCGTCGCAAGTTCGTGACGAGAGGTGACTGCGGCGGTGGCGGCATGGCGAGCGCTTCATCCAGCGGTGGATTGAGCATGGCCCTCCTGATGACGACGGCGAGCGATCAAGGAGCTCGGGTTCGTCCCGGGGTCGATCGGTCGCTCGCACGGACGTTGGGGACTTCTTTCGCACCGTACGACGTAGCCCACAGTGCTGACCGGTGCAAGGCATTGGATTCGCAGTGGCATCGGAGAGCGCGCCTCCACCCCCCCCACCCAGCCCCCCCCAGCCCCCTCCCCCCCCCCGCACCATCCGCCCCCCACTCCCCGACCCGCACGTGTTGATTCTGTAGGGGCCCCACGGGCGCCGCGGCCTCCGCGGGGGGCGGGGGGGGTTCGGTTAGCCCCGAGGGCCGACCGAGGCGACCGAGTGTACATTTCGGTCAAGGTATATAACAATGTCGCTGTTTGTAACACGAATACATAATTAAAGTGAGCAAGTGTGTGTTTATTATGTGTACGGTTGGAGCTGTCGTATACTAACAGCCCTTCCTCCCCATCGCAAGTCTTACCTACGAGTCGTGCCGCTTCTGTAGCCGAGTGTCTTGGTGTCGCTGTGAGTGATGACGACGGCTGTACATAGGCTAGCGAGCCACCACGCGTGTGTACAGTCCCGGTTCCGTGATGATTCATGTGGTTGGTGGTGGTGGTGCTGGTGGTGCTGGTGGTCTCTTTTTTTGTAGCGAGAGCTTTCCGAAAAAGGTTTAATAAAATGAAATTTGATGGTGTGTGATGGCGTAACAAGCACGGAATCGTTTGTTTGTTCCGAACGTGAAAGATTTTCATTCTCAACCGAATACAGGAACTGTGTTTTTGCCCGGGGGGGGGGGGGGCGGGGTCCTCTGCTGGATATTGCAGAGCAAGTGGCACGTGAGTGGCAAGCCACAGCCGTGAGGCACACGGACTGCGTGTGCCGTGCCGTGCCGCTGACCCTCGGATAGTCCCGGCTGAAGTGTAAGCACCCGCTCCCCGCCGTTGTCGCTCGTGCGAAACCAGATAACGCGCAGACACACGGGTGGGACACGTGACACAAACAAGACATCGACCAAGAGCAGATCCCATTGATGTGGGGTGCACCGTTGGGAGAGATCTTATCTAGGATTGTATGTGCGGCAGCGCACACCAACCCCCGTCTGTGCGCCGTGCCGGCCTTAATAGGTGATCACGAACAGCACTTGGCCATGAACAGCACTTGCCCCAGCAATCTGTGCTGTGCGATTGCAACGGGCATCTTTAGCTTGGTACACAAAGACACGGGCACCCATATGTGCGCTGCCTGTGTTCTCGCACCCACTAATCCACCACCATCACCTTCACATGGCGCACCATCACCTGCCGTCAACAAACATTCCACACCATCGGCTCCACCTTCCATTCCGTAGCTATCAGCAGCATCCCACACCATATCACCTTCCACGCCATAATTTTCACATTCCCATAGCCGTTCATTCAGCATCAATAATCCACTCCATCACCATCGCGTTCGCATGACCATCGCCTTCCCACGCCCGTGCCAGGGTTATGGGTCATCGGGTGGCCGTCTGGAAGCCTCCCTGTGTGGCAGTGGCGATCGGCCTCGCGTTGAATTGACTCGCCGAGCCAGGGGGGCAGTCGTATGACCTCCCCGTGTGAGATCGCCTTCATGGACGCACATTATGTGGAACGCGCAACCCCAAGACATACACACATCTCACGTATACACACACACAGTACTCACACACTGGGCGTGTGTCAGTGTGTTGGGAGCGGTGGCGCAGTGGTTAGCACGCCGCGCTACGATTCACGCTCACGGCCAACGACACTGACGAATATCTGAACCTGGTCCTGGGCCTCCCCTAGGTCGTCTCAGCCTTAATTGATTATCTGACGCGGTGTGCAAAAGTGGGCCTGCACCCACCCCCACGTGTGCCTTCATAGGTGCTTGACAACGACACTTGCACCAACAGTCCGCTCGGGCAATAAGGGGGCGGGGGATCATTGTCTTTGGGAGCGGTGGTTGAAACATCGCGTTCTGAACCCGGCAAGGTCCGGGTAGAAGGGAGCGAGTGACCTTTCGTGAGACATCAACGTCGTGAGACATCAACAGGAACTCATCAATCGCGGCCGGCGCCAAGTTTCCCCGCTTTGCGAACATCTACCACCCTGTCCGTGACTGAACCCCACGGGACCCCGAGTCGAACCTTGACCGTGGCGATGCTGCCGGCGAGTGCGAGCGGGCAGCAGCAGCAGCGGAGAAGTGTGCGAGACGGCGGCTGGGTCTGCCCACAGTCAACAGCTGAGCCCCACGTCACCGCCGCCACCTGCACCCGGCAGCGCTGGTTAATTGGTTAATTAGTTAATGACTGCGCTGTTTGTTTAAACGCGGACGGAGGGGGGGGGGGTTAAGTCACGGGTGGTCAAACGAGGGCTGCCGCGAGACGCCCTCTCACTCTCTCTCCTCTCTTTCTCTCGGGCGCGCGCGGCTGTTGATGCGTAATTACTAATTAGCGGGGAGAGGGATCCGCGTGGAGCGCTAATGAGGACCTGGGGGGGGGGGGGGGTTATCGCCCCCCCTCACCACCCCTCCACGTGCGCCCACAGATGTTGCACGAGTGTGGAGCGGCTCCATCACGTGACGCTTCATTAAACACATAGACGGTGCCCCCACCCACCCCCCCCACCTTCTTAATGCTTCTATAGCGGGTATCGCCCCCCCGCCACCTTTTAACAAAAAAGTTACCCCCTTAAAGAGGTTCACCAGGTAGGCATGTGATTAGTGGAGGGGGGGGGGGCTGGGAGGAATCGTCGATTAAAATCAATTCGAACGCCGGATGATTCCTGCAGCAGCGTAACGCGCGGTCAAAGATCGGTCGGCTTCGATTCCCCGCTGCCGCTCGTGGCCGCTATGTTAAGCGCAACAACAACAACAACGACAACAACAACAACAGCCAATCGACGCTGTTTTGTTGTTGTTGGTATTTTGAAGCGAGACGTGCGACACTCGAATCGCCCGGGCGTGGGGTGACCGGTTCCACCCGGCGTGGACGCGATCAAGCCGTGGGATATTCATTACGCGCTACCCGCAGGAGTTGTAATCGCCCCTGATTAATGAATCAGGGGTGAAACTCGTCCCGGGTTCACGCTGGGAGGCGAGTGGGCAGGGGAGGGGGGGCAGGGGAGGGGGGCCAGCCCCCCATTGTTGGACCGGGTCCAGCATCGAAGCCCCGACTGAGCGGCCGAGTCTCACCGCGGATCAACACGAAAGGTGAAGTCCGACTCATCCTGCGGATGACTCGACACGAGTTCGTGTCGAGTTCATCCAGAGGGGTGGGTGGGGGGGTGTTGGTAGGGGGGGAAGTGTTGGTGGTGGGGTGTTGGTGGGGGGGGAGTGTTGGTGGGGGGGGAAGTGTTGGTGGGGGGGGGGGAGTGTTGGTGGGGGGGGGAGTGTTGGTGGGGGGGGTGTTGGTGGGGGGGGTGTTGGTGGGGGGGTGTTGGTGGGGGGGGGGGGGGGTTGGGGGGGGGGTTGGTGGGGGGGTGTTGGTGGGGGAATGTTGGTGGGGGGGGGGGTGTTGGTAGGGGGGGTGGACTCCATCACCATCATCACCACACGGTGAACTACGATTCATCACCACCATCCAGGGTAGACTCCTCACGGCGCTGCTAAGTTCATGCGCTCAGTGTCCACCCCGCCCCGTTGCGGCGCGCGGGGGGGGGGGGGGCGCGTGAGAAACTCCGCGCGGAGGCCGCGTGCCCGCGAGTGATCGCGAAATGTGGTTCCTATTTGGAGCTCAGACTCGCTGTTTCCGAGGGGATGAGGAAGCGGCATCACGAACAAGAGCCCTTGGCAGCTGCGGCTCGTGGTGCTGGTGGTGCTGCTGGTGGTGGTGCTGGTGGTGCTGGTGGTAGTGCTGCTGGTGGTGGTGCTGCTGGTGGTGGTGGTGCTGGTGGTGGTGCTGCTGGTGGTGGTGGTGCTGCTGGTGGTGGTGCTGCTGGTGGTGGTGGTGCTGCTGGTGGTGGTGGTGCTGGTGCTGCTGGTGGTGCTGGTGGTGGTGGTGGTGCTGGTGGTGGTGCTGGTGGTGGTGCTGGTGGTGGTGCTGGTGCTGCTGCTGGTGGTCGTGGTGCTGGTGGTGGTGCCGGGCGCTGTTGTGTTGCGCTGGCAAGCGACCGTGGGCTGCAGCAAGCCACTGCGCGCTCTGAACATTTATTAGGAGTGATTGCAAAGAAATATTGTATATAAATAAATTAATGGTTCACTTACAATTACTTGGAAATTGCAAAAAATATCTAATTATGCTGCCAGCGGTGTCATGCGCCTCTTTTTTTTATTTTGTTTGCTGCGTGGGTTTGGAAATGGGGTGGGGGTCTAGAGGGGGGAGGGGCGGATGGGGGAGTGGGAAGGGGGAGGCGGATGGGGGGCGGGCTCAGACTTGAGTGTAAGAGATGAGGAATTGTGGAGTAGGGAGAGGTGGGAGAACGAGACGGTGACCGAGAGAACGCGGAGCGAGAGGGAAGATGCGGGGAGGTTGAGCGAGGAGTGAGAAGAGAGAGAGAGAGGTGTGAACGGTGAGGACGGAGCGTGGGAGAAATGAATCTGAGAGAGAGAGACGACGACGGACGAGAACGTGAAGAGAGTTAGGGGAGAGGAAAGAGCCCAACGTAAAAGGGTGAGATCGATGGCCGAACAGAAGGACAGTGGGGGGAGAGGAGAAGAGATATCGGAGAAAACAGGGAGAGAGGGCAGAGTGATGAGGGGGAGGATTGATATGGGCGACCATAAGGGGAGAGTGGAGAGGGGAGGATGAAGAGACATGCGCGGCTGACCCACGCCGTGCCGGCCTTCAAGGAGCAGTGGGCGCTGGAGGAGGCCGTATGCTCGGTGGCAGATGACGGGGAGCTCTGCATGCTGATATGAGCTACCCGTCGGAGGCCGTTGGACTGCGAGAAGGGCTGCGTGCAGAACGAGAGAGAGCGAGAGAGAGAGCGAGAGAATGAGCGAGAGGTGGGGATTTACATAAAGCAAAGTTTAATAAAAAAAAATTACGAAATGATGAACGAAGCAAAGTGCCGACTACACCGAGCATCTTCTTGTTTCCACTCCGTGTCGTCTTCCTCCTCCTCGTCACCGATGGCCACACACGGACACGAGCGGTAGGGGCTGAGAAGGTGGTCACGAGATGCCAAGTACGGCCAAGTGGCTGCGGTTCTCAGATGGATTGCGACACCGGCTTGGAGTGAGTCTGTGGATCGCAAACGCCTCTCCCTGCGGGGGCTTTGAGTGTTTCCCCCTCGGCTCGGCATGCGCCGTGGAGTCTCTCCGGGTTCCCAGGTTCCACTCCACGCCCCCACACGAAGGCAGAGAAGCAGAACGGAACAAACATCCCAATGCAGCTGGGCCCTTCGGGAACAGAGTCTTGAGACTCGGGTAAATAATTGCCATTTTTATACATTCGCTGCTGGGAGCAGAGTTTCTTTTTTTTGTATAAAAATTGCATTGTTAATTAGCAAGGAGAAAGGTGTGGATACTGCTGAGCAACGACCCCAACCTCCCCTCCCCCATGCTCACACAAAACAAAGAGAAAGAGCCCCCGTATAGCTTTAACCGACTGTTGGGGCAAGTGTTGTTATCGAGCACCTATGAAGGCCGGAACGGCACACAGGGGATGAGTGGCCAGCACAACTCCCGGACGCCTTTGTCTCCCTACTTATTTGAGGCTGAGTCTACCTAGGGGAGGCCCGGTTCAGGGATATTTG